GCGAGTGGGCAAAATTATTCAGTTGTTTCAGGTCGATTGTTGTGTAACCAGGGGTGAGGACTCCAGATACCAGGACATAAGTCTCAAACAAGCGTTTAGAGCATTTGGCTGCTTCGCATTCCCGTATGATGAGCCACTTCGCTGAGATATCAATTGTGGCCAGGAGACTTCTGAAAAAGCTGCATAGCTCAGTGGGCCTTACCTGGTAAGAGAAAACATTGTTTCGTTTTTTTATTTGCAAGAGTGAAATAAAGAGTAGCATTCATAGAAATTAGAAATAAAACATCAGACATGTAACAGAATATTGTACTAATATGCAAACAGACAAGGCTATACGATATTCTTAGCTCTTTCGGTAAAGTCACGTTGAAGGGAAACAATTAAATAATAATAAAATATATAACAATAAAAATTCTCACGACGTTTCGACCATAACACAAACGGTCGTCATCAGGTGTCGGTTTGCATAAATTTATTTTTAAACGGTGTATTTATTTATTTAGAAAACAAAACGTCAGCGCCACGCGCAGCGATTTGGCAGTTTGTTTAGAAGGACTAGTCCATCTATGTTCTGAAAAGAGGAGGGGGGAGACGAAAAATTAATGTATGCTGTCTGAAAGCCACTGTAAGCGTGAACATTCAATTAAGACCTGAAATGGTTTATCAAATCTTTCCAATGATTGCTAAGCCAGAATCCATCTTCTCGGTTGAAATTGTCTCTGTGCTTATATATGTGGATAGCCTCATGAACGAATCTCTCATGGTAGCCAGATGGCTTACAAAGAACCTCTGTCTTGGAAAAGTCAATGTCATGTGAGCCTACTGAATTATAACAATGATCTGCCACGGCCGAGGTGTTGGTCCTACCGTGTTTAAGGTCTGCTTTGTCTTCACGAATGCGGTCCGAGACATGGTGTTTGGTTTCTCCAATGTAACTACTACCACAGAGGCAACTTAGTTTGTAGACACCAGGGTACTGTATGTCCGGAATCACATCTTTTACAGACAGAACCAGATCACGGATTTTATGTAATGTGTTGAAATGGACCTGGATCTTGTGTTTATTCAAAATTTTGGAGATCTTTTTTGTGATCCCCGCAATGTAGGGTAAAGTGATGGTTTTGAAAGGCTCCTCAAGAGGGTCCTTCTTCATGGTTTGAGTTATAGCTTTGCGGATTGTATAGTCGGAGTAACCATTAGCCTTAAGAGCTTGGTGTACGTGCTTGAGCTCACTGCCTATGTGTTCCTGGTCGGATATGCATTGGGCTCTATGATACAGAGTCTTGATGAGAGAATTCTTCTGTGATGGATGGTGGTGGGAATCCGGTTTCAGATAAGCATCCGTATGGGTAGCTTTCCTGTAGACAGAGTAGCTCATTGAACCATCAGGTCTCTTTTTAATTAGGACATCCAAAAAAGGTAGCTTGCCATCTTTTTCGACTTCCATGGTAAATCTGATGGCTGGGTGTATGTAATTGATGTGGTCGAAGAATTGGTCTAGAGCAGGCCGGCCATGTGGCCAGATGACACAAGTGTCATCCACGTACCTCTTCCATAAGGTTGGGCGCAGAGTGGCAGTCTGGATGGCGTCAGTCTCAAATTTCTCCATGAAAATGTTAGCTATAACCGGAGATAGGGGGGAGCCCATTGGGGTGCCCTCAGTTTGTTTGTAGAAAGTTCCATTCCAAGTGAAGTATGTATTGGTTAAACAGTGTCTCACCAGGGGGGGTACCTCAGTGTTTAGTCCTTGATGAACCAAGTCTTCAATTATTGCGATGGTGTCAGGTACAGGAACCTTGGTGAATAAGGAAACTACATCAAAACTGACAAGCAGGTCGTCTGGGGATAGGGAAATACCCTTGATTGTCGATACCAGGTGAGTAGAATTTTGTACCGCAGAGGTGGTTTTTCCAGTGAAAGGACGCAGGATTTCAGACAAAAAATGAGCCAGTTTGTAGGTGGGGGAGTTGATAGTAGAGACGATGGGACGAAGGGGTGTATCTACTTTATGTATTTTTGGTAAGCCGTATAATCTTGGTGGCCTGGCAGCAGAAGGTTTCAACGAAAACTGTTTAGATTGATCAATTAATGCGGTTGAATCAGAAATTATTTTGTTGGTTTGTGTGATGAGGCTGTTGGTGGGATCTCTTTTTATTTTTGTATAACTACCATCGTAGAGTAATTCTTTAATTTTGTTGTTGTATTCTATTTTATCCATGATGACAGTAGCATTGCCCTTGTCAGCTGAGAGGACTACAATATCATCCCTCTTTTTAAATTTATATAATTCAAAACGCTCATCTTTGCTGAGGTTGCTAGCTGGCATCTTAGCGTTTTTGAGGGTTGCAGCGATTTCAGATCTTGCTACGTCTGCAGCGATGTGACCCAGGCCACTGACAGCAACATCTACTTGGGCAATTATATCATTAACTGGTATGTGTTTAGGTGTGACTGCAAAGTTTAGACCTTTAGCTAAAACGGATTTCAGACCATTGGAAATAGAACTGTTACAGCGATTAATTACGACTTTGTTAACGTCTAACTTTTTGGTGTGTGGGTCCGGTCTTTTGTTGAAGAGGAGGTTAAATACATCGCTGCAGACGTAGCAAGATCTGAAATCACTGCAACCCTCAAAAATGCTAAGATGCCAGCTAGCAACCTCAGCAAAGATGAGCGTTTTGAATTATATAAATTAAAAAAGAGGGATGATATTGTAGTCCTCTCAGCTGACAAGGGCAATGCTACTGTCATCATGGATAAAATAGAATACAACAACAAAATTAAAGAATTACTCGACGATGGTAGTTATACAAAAATAAAAAGAGATCCCACCAACAGCCTCATCACACAAACCAACAAAATAATTTCTGATTCAACCGCATTAATTGATCAATCTAAGAGTTTTCGTTGAAACCTTCTGCTGCCAGGCCACCAAGATTATACGGCTTACCAAAAATACATAAAGTAGATACACCCCTTCGTCCCATCGTCTCTACTATCAACTCCCCCACCTACAAACTGGCTCATTTTTTGTCTGAATCCTGCGTCCTTTCACTGGAAAAACCACCTCTGCGGTACAAAATTCTACTCACCTGGTATCGACAATCAAGGGTATTTCCCTATCCCCAGACAACCTGCTTGTCAGTTTTGATGTAGTTTCCTTATTCACCAAGGTTCCTGTACCTGACACCATCGCAATAATTGAAGACTTGGTTCATCAAGGACTAAACACTGAGGTACCCCCCTGGTGAGACACTGTTTAACCAATACATACTTCACTTGGAATGGAACTTTCTACAAACAAACTGAGGGCACCCCAATGGGCTCCCCTCTATCTCCGGTTATAGCTAACATTTTCATGGAGAAATTTGAGACTGATGCCATCCAGACTGCCACTCTGCGCCCAACCTTATGGAAGAAGTACGTGGATGACACTTTTGTCTTCTGGCCACATGGCCGGCCTGCTCTAGACCAATTCTTCGACCACATCAATTCCATACACCCAGCCATCAGATTTACCATGGAAGTCGAAAAAGATGGCAAGCTACCTTTTTTGGATGTCCTAATTAAAAAGAGACCTGATGGTTCAATGAGCTACTCTGGCTACAGGAAAGCTACCCTTACGGATGCTTATCTGAAACCGGATTCCCACCACCATCCATCACAGAAGAATTCTCTCATCAAGACTCTGTATCATAGAGCCCAAAGCATATCCGACCAGGAACACATAGGCAGTGAGCTCAAGCACGTACACCAAGCTCTTAAGGCTAATGGTTACTCCGACTATACAATCCGCAAAGCTATCACTCAAACCATGAAGAAGGACCCTCTTGAGGAGCCTTTCAAAACCATCACTTTACCCTACATTGCGGGGATCACGAAAAAATATCTCCAAAATTTTGAATAAACACAAGATCCAGGTCCGTTTCAACACATTACATAAAATCCGTGATCTGGTTCTGTCTGTAAAAGATGTGATTCCGGACATACAGTACCCTGGTGTCTACAAACTAAGTTGCCTCTGTGGTAGTAGTTACATTGGAGAAACCAAACACCATGTCTCGAACCGCATTCGTGAAGACAAAGCAGACCTTAAACACGGTAGGACCAACACCTCGGCCGTGGCAGATCATTGTTATAATTCAGTAGGCTCACATGACATTGACTTTTCCAAGACAGAGGTTCTTTGTAAGCCATCTGGCTACCATGAGAGATTCGTTCATGAGGCTATCCACATATATAAGCACAGAGACAATTTCAACCGAAAAGATGGATTCTGGCTTAGCAATCATTGGAAAGATTTGATAAATCATTTCAGGTCTTAATTGAATGTTCACGCTTACAGTGGCTTTCAGACAGCATACATTAATTTTTCGTCTCCCCCCTCCTCTTTTCAGAACATAGATGGACTAGTCCTTCTAAACAAACTGCCAAATCGCTGCGCGTGGCGCTGACTTTTTTTTCTAAATAAATAAATACACCGTTTAAAAATAAATAAATTTATGCAAACCGACACACCTGATGACGACCGTTTGTGTTATGGTCGAAACGTCGTGAGAATTTTTATTGTTTTATATATATTATTATTTAATTGTTTCCCTTCAATGTGACTTTACCGAAAGAGCTAAGAATATGAATTACTGCAGTCACGAAAGCTTTCAATCAAAATTTAAGGCTATACGAGCCAAATACAATTTATGGGAGTCCCGTTTACCATGGAATTCCAGTTTATCATGGAATTCCAGTTTACCGTGGGAGTTCAGTTTACCATGGGAATCAAGTTTACAATGGAAGCCCAAATTTTGATTTAAAGCTTTCGTGACTGCAGTGATTCATATTCTTGGTTCTTTCAGTAAAGTCACGTTGAAGGGAACAATAAAATAATAATATATAATATATACAGTCATCATCAGGTGTGATAACACCTGATGATGACTGTTTGCGTTACAGTCGAAACGTCGTGAGAATTTTATTGTTTTATATATATTATTATTTTATTGTTTCCCTTCAACGTGATTTTACCGAAAGAACCAAGAATATGAAAAATGGAAGCCCAGTTTACTCTGGGAATGCATTTGACCATGTAAATCCATTTGCCCATGTAAGTCAAGTTTACTATGGACCCCAACCCTTGACCCTGGCCTGTACCTCGGAAATATGACACAAAAGTCAGATTTGTACAATTGCATCGTGATACATTTATAATTATTGTACACAGCCCTCGATTGTAGCTTTTCATATACAGTAAACCCTCGTGATACGCGAGTTCTATAGAGTTTGGCATATTCGCGAGTTTCTAAATGTATACAAATTGCTTATTTGTGACCCACCGGACTCCGGTATTCGCGAACTGTGTACTACGTAGTGTCTACAGACCATCGACACCGGGGAGGTGTGCGCAGAATGTTGTTAAATTTGAAACGGTCTGCGAAAATTAGGCACGCGCCCTCGGCTGCCCGCTGAAACCTCGGCTGCCCTCATTGTGAATAATGTTTCTGCGCTCAGGAATTCTGGATTCGAGAGCATTTTCAAGAACGTATCCCTCGCGAATAGAGAGGGTTTACTGTATAGTCCCTAGCTGCCCTGCTCACTGCCCTGGCCTCATAGTAGTGATACAGGCACTATGGACTTCCTCTGATTCTTCCTTCATTATGTTGATGAAGGGTGATACAAGTGACTTGAAGAGCTAGAGGCCAATTTGCCTCATATCCACAATCATTCAAATGTATAATGCGCATTCCATCCTAGGATCCCAATGCACAATGCATGAAAAAGCAGAAAACAAAAACAGAACCAGGGCAACTGACCAAACTGAAGAGTGGCAGTTTAAAGAGATGGGTTTTCAAAGTAGACTTAAAAACATCTACCGACTCTGATTGCCTGATTTCAATTGGCAAGTCGTTCCATAGCTTGGGTGCTACGCTAAGAAAAGCCTGATCATCAAAAGACCTGTAATTGCTGAGTAGTTGGAGATCAAAATATCTTAAGGACCTTGATGGAATATAGAAATGTATTAGTTCTTGCAAGTAATGTGGGGTGAGCCCTTTTAAAGCCTCATAGGTCAATAGCAGTGTCTTAAAATCCACTCCGAATTTGACTGGTAGCCAATGAAAAGAGCACTGGTGTAATGTGTTCACGGAATGGTGTACCTATAAGTAGTGGCATTCTGAACAAGCTGCAGTCTGTTCAATACTTTGCTCGGAATCCCAACCAGTAAGGCGTTGAAGTAGTCGAGTCGGGAAAACACAGAAACATGGACCAGTCCTCTCCAGGTCAGCAGGTGACAGGAAGCGATGCATTCTGGCAATATTTCTTTGGGGGTAAAGGAGATTTTAACCACCTTAGATATATGTGCCTCAAAGGATAATAGGATAATGATGAGTCAAACTGAACACCGAGATTTCTAACCTCCCGTGCGGGACAGACATCGTGACCATCATTCAACAAACTAGGCGAACCCAATTTTAGAAAGATACAGAGGGGAGCCGATAAATAGGGCTTAGGTCTTGTCGCCGTTGAGTTGCAAAAAGTTTTGGCGCAACCATGAATTCACTACTGCGAGTGATGCAGACAGCGCAGAAGAAGCTGTTGCATAGTCTGTTCTTGACCGCATATAAACGTGTCATCTGCATAGCAATGGTAGGATAAGCCGAGATGTCAGAGTAGAATACACAAGGGCCAAGCACAGATCCCTGCGGAACACCACAGAGAACCGATCTAATTTGTGAATTGAAGCCGTCCTTTGCGACGAAGTACCTAAGATTATTTAAGTAAGAGTGGAAACACAACAGACCTATGCTCATAGATCCCCATTGAAACTTAGAGCCGCTCAAGGAGAACCCCGTGATCAATGAAGTCGAATGTCGCGCTTGTGTCTCGCAGAATGAGAGGCTGACAAAGACTTTATCTGCTGACAAAAGTAAATCATTGACCACCCTTACCAGAGCAGTCTTGGTGCTATGCACAGCTTTGAACCCCGATTAAAAGTGGTCAAATAGATCGTTTGGGGCCAGGTATTGATGTAAACGAGTGACCACAGCTCATTCCAGAATCTTAGACAAACACAGAAGGTTCGATATTGGGCGAAAGTTTTCTGGAAGCTCGGGATCAAGACCGAGCTTTGTAAAAAGTGGGGTGACTTCAGCCATCTTAAAAATGTCAGGAACTGTTCCAGTTTTGCGGGAACTGTTGAGAACACTGAGGATAAAAGGCCTCAGTATAACAGAATTGTCCCATAACAGCCTTTAAGGGAACGGATCCAGTGAACAGCTGGTAGGTTGAAAAACAGCAAATAAAGAGATGAGTTCCGCAGTTGAAATTGCGGGGAAATTCAGTCAAAAGTTTGGTCTCTAACTTAGCCGGAGGCAAGTAGGAAAGAGAGGGAACAGAGGTAAGAGACAGTCATTTGGACCGTTTAATGGACATTTTATCGTGAAAAAAACTGTTGAATTATGGTACAGAAATCAGCGGAGGAGTGGGGAATACCATTTGGTTCCTTATTCAAAAGTTGACTGATACAGGAAAATAAGGTCGGAGTATTGTTATCACTATTTGCAATGCGACCAGCCATGTAGGAGGATTTAGCCAAGGCAATGTTGTTATGAGAAGAAGCTGCCCTTTAAATATTTTATAACGAATAGTGACGCCGAACTTCCTCCAAGTACGTTCCGCTTTACGGACAGTACATTTTTGCGCCATCAATTCTGCAATGTGTCATGGCGAAGGGTGACAGGAAGATGTCCAAAGGGGTTTGGAGGGGAGCCAAATGATCCAGGATCTATGATAGAACAGAGTTATATAATTGAGTAGCTTCTTCAACAGGAAGTTGACAGTCATCAGCGAGTGGAGAACTCGATTGGGCGTTTGCTAATGAAATTTGATGTTCAATAGAATGACCAGGAGGGGGCAGGGATAAATCAAAGAGGACCACTGAGCGGTCTGAGATTTCCGGATCCATCGCAGTCAGTTCAGATAGTGAAAGCCCAAGAGAACAAACGAAATCTAAAATATATTCACCAGACTGGGAACAGAATAATGAACAATGTAGAACCCAACCAACAACATGAGCAAGCTAGAATTTGAAATGGTTAACGACCTTTGAATACATACAATCAATAAAAAGGTACGTGGATATTATAATTATGCCTGGCCTTTGTAGACAATTAAATAAGGTTTCATTCAGTTCAAATTCATGGAGTCATCAAACCAATGACAAACAGAAGCTAAAATAAAGAAATATGAAAAATATAAAAACTAAAGTTGAGCAATAAGAAAAGCAAACTCAAACACTGTGGCTGCAGAAGTGAAGGTTCGTTGAAGGGAGGTCTTGTCAAAGCCTGTGGGCCTGGACCTCTGAGTAGACCGTATTGGGCCCGTTAGGCTCCATTGATTTTCTAGGAGCTCCGGTGAAATGGTCAGTCGTCACCTCGGCATACACCACCACTTCGTCCTGGACCCTCGAGTCTGGAAATGGACACGGGTTAAGCGTGACAAATAAAGATTTCTGATTTGTGAAGTCACTTCACAGACGACGTCACATTCCTCACACCCGCCCTCCCCCCCCACATCTCTCACGTGAACACCTGGTGATGTTACGCACCCCGCTGCCAAGGTTCATCTCTTACCTTGCTGATCTCTTCAATGAGCATAACCCGTCACACAAACTCCGGTCATCCTTGCAGCAGCTGCGGCTTTTTGGCTAACCATCGAACAAAGACGGTCACTGCTTTGCCCATTTTTAGATGCGCTTCTGCGGCCGTCTGCAATGCTCTTCCTTCCAATACTAGGAAACCAATGGAACTATACACTTTTAAATTTAGATTGAAAACTTATTTCTTTCGAACTGCTCTGTGTTTAGTGTGTTGCCCCTCTCCGCACCTCCGATTAGCACGGTTGGCTACGTACAGTGCAAAAGAAGCTCAACACACATACACACATACAACATCAGAGCCCACTAGGAGCCCCCCAAGAGAATAGCGAGAGGGGCGAGGCGTAACGACCGTGGAACGCCAAGATGGAACCCATCGCTGTGAAGTTCCCGGCCCTCTCGCGACGCACGGTACCTGTGACGGTGGCGTATGTGGTCCTGTTTGTCGAGACGGGGCGAGGAATGGACGAAGATGGCATCATTTCAAGATTGGCGTACAAACACTGATCTCCATCCAATTTCCCAGCTACCTCCTTATCTGCGCCCTCCAGGGAGGGAGAGGAGTGGAGGGGAAGGAGAGAGAGCTGAGTGGGATGTCTCGCAGTGTCGTGTGTGTTGTTTGGGACAAACGATGGAAATGTTTACATTTGGAACCGGAATCACGATCATGGAATTGCGCGTGTCTCACGCGTAATGCGCGATATGCACTCCTGAAAACAGCGCGTAAATGGAATCGCGCTGTACGAAGTCTGTTTTCCTATAGATACCTATTATGGGGTGAAGGGGGGTGTGCATTATTCAATAGAAATCAAGTATTTAATTTCATTTCAGCTCTGAATTTACAAAAATGTGTACAAATGTAACGCTTAATATTATTAATGTTACAAAACAATACTTCATAAGGAGTTTAATAAACTATATATTTAAGATTATAAATCTTACTTGCAAAGATCCTAATATATAAACACCCAGGTCTGTGATTCTGTCATTCTGTGACTAACGCGCCACGGATTGGTTGAAGTGCGTCACGTGACCGGGACCAAGCATCCAACCAACGCTTGGCGGGGTTATAGAGGGGGGGGGGGGTTAAAGTCCGCATCGAACCAAACCACCAGCAAGGCCATCTACTTAACGACGAGAGGAAATTCACACGAAATGTCGCTTTCAATTAAGTATTCCAGATGTAAAATGATATAAGCTTTTAATGAAGAAATCCAATTATCTAATTCAAAACATAATACAATTCAAAATATGTTTCATTTCAAAACTTCAGAATGGAGCATCGGGTGCTTGCGTGAATGTGTCGTTTGTGTGAAAAAAAATTCGTGAGATTTCTGGCCAAAGGCCGTAAATGGTTGTGAGGGCCAGTTATTTAATAATGAGTAACTTCTGGGATTCTTCAACGCTTCCGTAGTGCAAACAAAGCCCAGCAGTAGGTCATGGAAGGCTATGCGCAGCACGTGACACTGGGCGCTGCCATGGCGAGGTGACACCGTCAGAATTTTTAAAAAAAATTTTACTTATAAATTTTAATCGTGGAATTATATTTTTTTTGCGGAGCACGTAACTGTCAAACGCAGAGCGTAAGCGTGCGAAGTGTGTCCCTAAAAGATGAATTGCGTAACTGCGAATTTGCGCTATAGGGGGGTAGTGGTGGGTGGCGTTACGTGAGGGATGCCTGTATACAGGTGTGCATTAAAAAACGATTTCAATGGGATTGTTTTAGTGCCCATTCGAGCCAAACCCTGCACGCATACTTGGGGTTCACACGCTCATCAACTGGAACTCGTGTGAACTGTAATTCCTAATTAGGTACCCTCGTGTTCGATCGTGTACGTCAAATGCGCATTTTCGACTACGTAAGTCATCGTGAGGGATACGTTCCGGAGAGGCTCGTGAACAGCAAATTTCACGGATGATATTGGCCGATAAAAAAAAAACCTATCTTTTTAGTGAATTGCCTTAAATACATAAATAAGCTATTGGATACATGGAAATGATCGTAACACGAAACAATACAAATGTATTATAATAAACATGAAGTGAATAAAAAGAATAACATTAAAGTATAAAATTATAGTTTATAAATGCACTAAACTTATCTCATCACTTTCTCACGTCACTTTCTCTCGTTACTTTAACTCATCACTTTGTTTATTTTTCTCGATGCAGGGGACGTGTAGAGCTCCAGATGCCATTCGCGGATTGCCAAAATCTCCGAGAGCAGGTTCGTGAATCACGAGGGAATGCTGTATACCCTATCGCAACTTTACAGAGCCAATCAAATATTGTGGGAAAATATGTGAATTTGATTCGGGTTGGCAGCAAACCAGGATGTTGAAAACCGGGCAAACAATGTTGATAATTCCGTACGTTCCTTTCAGATTGCATCCAGCAGCAATGAGGTGGTTCACAAACAGCAGCTTTGACCTCGTTGAACGAGCGTCCTGATCCGGGGTCCATAAGTCTAAGGCACCCCAAAGCATAGTCATTCACGTGACCCAAATGAACAATGAGAGAGGGTTGCTGGTTCATTGGTTGCGATTGGCAGGTTATATTAATTTTAGTAAGGTGAATCTATTCTAGCAATTTGGTGGGAAAAAAATGATCTCCTTAATTGCATTGAGGTGTTCTGCGTTGGTAATGAAGTTAAGCAGTCATTGGTTAATATAGTTCGTTCGTTGGTAAATGTTAAATTTGGAGTGAATTGCTCATTGATTGGTTGCAATTGGCAGGTTAGATTACTCGAAACCAACCGTAAAGTTTTTTTTTTTATAGTGTCTATGTATGTTGAACTCTTTTCGCTCCGTACGTAGCCATATCACAGTTTAGTGTGATATGATACGAATTACGGTGGTATGATGTGGTATACAGTACAGACGGTCTGCGGTTTACAACGATCCACAATTACACCGTTTATATAACATCAATGTGGATGGATTTACGACGCAGAAACTCTATTTACGACGCACATTCCCATAAGACTCATGTGAACGGATCCGGTCTCGTCCCCAACGCGACTCGGCGTGGAGCTTTTGTTATTCTCAAGAGTGTTTGCGGATGTTTCTACCATCTACGGGGAAATAGGGTCCGATTGGGGACGATCCTATTTGCGACGGGGTTTCAAGGAACGCATTGAAACGTCCTAAAAGCAGGGACCGCCTGTATGCGATAGCACTAGCCGCACATTTTCGCGGGACACACGGCCGGCGTGGAGTGTGGAGGCGTGACGTCGGCGCGCAGGAACCCGGCTCAACGCTGTGGAATGCGTGTGACGTCACCACGCAGATATTCCTGGTGACATCACGACCACGCACACGCACTTGGGAGTGCGGCACCAAGGAATCCACCCAGGTCATCCATCCAGAATATTTTGTTTTTAATGCAGTACGAGTATGATGATAGCTTGTGGCAGGAAAGTGTTGTAAACGTAACCTTGAAGATCCGTTTGAGAGGGGTGGGGTGCAATCGCGAGACGGATTAATAGGAGACCTCAAGCGGATGTGTAGAGACACGACTGATGGGATACCATGCAACGGAGCTTAGAGATTGTCATATGTGTAACATATGTGTAGCATTGGCAAGTTCTGGATGGTTGAAGCATGTTCTAGTGAGGTATAATAATAACGATTGTTTTTTGTTATATAACCACCATTACATCAGAATGTCTTAGAGTGCATTAAATTGCATCTCATCTCAAACATGTGAAAGAGCACCCCCAGTGGTAGCTCTCTGTGTGGGCACGAGGTGACCCAGCACCTGGCCTGCTAACTTGGTCTGCCAGTAGGGGGCGATGATCGCTACGTACAATCCCAATTGAGTAACCTGTAATGCAGACCAAACACGTGCTATGGTTATTACACCGGCAGCAATAACCGGGGCGGCCGCGGGGATCAAACTGCAAACCTCACCAACGAGCGACGAATGCGCTACCAGTAGGCCATGCCCCCCGCTCCCCACCCCCCCCCCCCCCACGTCGTGCAATCAACGCCATGTGGCCATGGTGAGAGACAAATAAAGAGAGGCAACCAGAGCAATGCTTTTTCAGTGCCTTATTCACATCCATTATGAACCCACCTGCCATCTGATTCCTCTTCTTCACGATGATCACGGCTATGAAGATTAGGAGCAATATGACTCCAGCCACGACTATTCCCCCCAGCACGAGTTCATTAACTCCAGTGACTGGCTGAGTTTTAGGATTCGAACTCGGCTTCACTGTGTGCAGGGTCTGTGATGGTTTTGCCGTTGGATATCTGGTATCATGAGAGCGCACTGGTGTGAGAATAAAACATCGCAAAATTAATCGAAGGATATTCAACTTTTATACATGCTACACTTGCCTGTAACATAAATCCATACAATTTTGATTTATACAGCATATACAATTTGGGAGCAAGGGGGGACATTATTATCCTTCCCCTGCTCTCCGATTAGCATGGTTGGCTACGTACGGTGCAAAAGAAGTTGAACATATTAAGAGCAGAGGTTACAGAGTTGCAGAAAGCCATTCAGACCACAATCCAGTTATTGTTAAATGCTCAATGTTGGAGGCGTTATGCAAAGCTGCATGGAATAGGGAATTGTTGCCACAGTACTGGAAGAAGGGAATTACAGAGGAAAAGGGAAGGGAAGAAATCCAGGTAAAGAATTAACCAGAATCTTCAGAATCAGAATATTTATTTATCCTAGAGAAATCCGATCAGCTATGCAGCTTTTTTCACAGATGTCCAGTAGGGGCGGGTCAGAAGGTTACAACAAACAATGCAAACAATTGTTCAATATGATCTAGAATCAGATAAAGAAAACCCCCACTTATGAGACATTCAGTGTGGATTTAGATCAGGGGTTGCAGTGATGAGATCAGATTTTCATGGTAAGACAGCTGATAAGGAACAGTGTGGGAAGGATCTCTGGGTTTACTTTGTAGACTTGCGGCAAGCATATGATTCTGTGCAGCAGGTGGGTGTGGGAAATGCGAGGCTATTATGGCACCATGGGAAATATATTTTGGTTGCTAATAAAATTGTGTGATGGAACTCAGCCATGTCTATGGATACAAGGTGGAATATGAGGATGGTTTGATGTTCGAAGAGGTACTCATCGAGGTTGTATTTTGTCTCCCACGTTGTTTAACGTTGTGCTTCACTATTTTTGAACGAACGTCGTGACTTGAGGTTACAGCACAGTAGATAAACCAGAGGTCAACAGAGATCAGATTGTGCGGGACATGGAGTATGCAGATGATGCAGGTGTGTTGGCTATTGGCGGTCTTAAATCACTAAGTCTGGACACTGGGGTCTGAAGATGGCTTTCGTAAGACAGTTTATGGTAATGATAAACGGGGCTTCTGTTCAGTAGGAGTAGAGAATGTAGACGTGGTACAGATCAAGAAGTGCATTGCATCAGCAGACCAGGCTATGGAAACCACTTTGGAAGGGAAGAGAGATGTGTGTATGTTTAAAGAATGGAGTATTCGAGTCAGGAATGTTATCTGTATTAATGTGTGGGTCACAGAGCTGATACTAAGCAGCTCAAAAAGACTGTTGACATTTGAGCACAGGTGTCTGAAACACGTTATGGTGGTTTCATGGCAACACATGATGAGCAATGCGGAATCCTGGAAGAGAATTTAGCATAGATATGATTATGTAAAAAAAAGGCTGCACTGGTTCTAATCTGTGTGCCGGATGGAGGAGGGCCAGTTCCGGGGACCAAGGGAAAATTCTCAGGCCTAATGGTGGTTGACACTGCGAGGGCAGACCTTGGAGGTCGCATTTTTACTGTGCAACAGCTGCGGGATCTGGCAGACCGTAGAAGGCATTTGTGAGGGGTGGTAGCATTAACGGCCTTGGTCATGATGACGAATGGACCTTGATGAATTCGACTGTATCACAAGACAATGGATACGAATTGGGAACTTGTTTACACGGACGGCGCACGGACAGGTGGAGAGTTCCAGACAACTGTGGCAGCAGAAAAGAATGAGCGACCTCGACTGAGCATTGCTTGAATGTCGGCTTAAAAAATGGCGTCATTTAAAATGGCGGCTCTGAAAAAATGGCGGCTTCCACAATGGCGGCTCAGAAAAAATGGCGGCTTAAAAAAATCGTTCGAGGGAAGCCGAGCAGTGTGAGACCGGAGAGGTAGGATAAGAACCTGGCATTGGCCATCTTCTAGAGATTGGAGATGAGTGGTGTGGCTACATAGGAGAGAGTTGCAATTGTTGAGTTGGGATGTGACGAATTAACGGATAAGAATGTCGACAAGAGCTAGTGGTGTTGTGCAGATTGAGGTATAAGGTCCTGCAAAATGAACCTGTGGTAAGAACACAAAACCTCATGGTCAATGAAAACTCGGAGGTTTTACACACTCTTTGCCAGTGTAATGTCAAAGTTTAGAAGATTAACGTTCAAACTAGAGAATCTACGCTTTAATATGCGCTCTGGTACTTTCTTCATGTAATCTTTATGAGTTCGTTCAATTTCAGTAGAAAAGAGAGTCGAAAAGAGCCGGTACGGAACTGGTATATACGAGACAGAGTTGAAATTAATAGGCAGTGCAAAGAGGACTGAACAGAACACGACCAACACTAATACAGGATAGTCAGAGCAAAACGACTGTAAAAACAACACAAACAAGTGAGGCAAACACTACAAATGAGTGCACACAAATGAGACGTACGTGAATGAGACAGATAACTCAATAATACAAATGAGACAGAACAGTGCAAACGAGACGGTGCAGAGCAAGACAGGGGGAGCGGATCTTAGGGGCCGTCCGTAAATGACGTCACACGATATTGTACGATTTTTGCCCGCCCCCACCCTTCGTCACACGGCGTCACAAATATGATGTCACAAAGCTGTGTCCCCCCCTCCCCAAAAAAAACATGCTTTAAATCGCTTTAAACTATTGTCATTGTCGTGCGTATTTAATGTGGCGCTGCACTCTGATGTTGTAGGAGAAAACATGTATTAAAAAGTATATTTAATTAAGTAGAACGTGTTGTCGATATTTATTTAAAGTGATGTGACGTCACATTGCTCAAACCCCCTTCCCCACATCATACATCGTCACAAATGTCTGACCCCCCCCCCCCCCAGGTGCGTGACGTCATTTATGGACGGCCCCTTAGAGGGCCGGCTGTGTCATGAACAGATAATGCAGACGTGGAATTTACTTGCTGACACAGCTAAATCCTTACAGAGAGGAGTTTAGCAGCTCAGTAAACAATGAAATGTTTTGCTATCATTCGAACTCATCAACAAGCCTAATCCAGATGTAGGCTCCCATGCAAAGCCTAGAATGCAAGGTTGCCCAGATGTACACGTCAAAAGGACAATACCTTTTGTGAAGACAGTGGTGACATCCGTAGTCGGTGTATGAGCCGTCTCTGTCTCACACGATGTAACCTGCCGTGCGGGTGTCGGTGTATGTATTGGTGTGTGTGTGTGTTTAGGTGTGTTTGTGTGTGTAAATGTGCGTATGCATTGTGTGTATGTAAATGTGTGTTTATATAAAATAAACGTTGAAATAAAACACATACACCAGAAGCTAACATTAAGAGAGCATTTCCATTACAACACAATTGTCATGTAGAGAATTGAGTTCTGCCATAGGCACGTGGAATTTCCACAATTTTCTCAGGACCGCCTATGCATATGAACACCGACTAACACTGCTTTGGTACAGAGGCAAGGCAACCTTAAAATGACAATCGCTTTCCAAAGATATCAGCGCTACACCATGTATTGTTTAACAGAGTGAATATCACAACGCAGAGTAATATTTAACCGATTCTGGCAAAGGGCATTGTTACACGATAATCGGTTGTTTCTGAAACTTTTCATGACACTAAAGCCAGTAAAAGCAGCCTAAGCTGACTATCATTACTCATCACACGAATACACCGCTGATTGTGAGTTACCGAATGACGAATGAACGAGGACTCAGAATTTGTATTTACATTGGAGGAATCCAATGAGCTATGAAGATTGTTTCCACAGATGTCCAGACTTGTTTACCAGTCTACCATCTCATCCATCACATCCACGCCACGTACAGCCACCACTGCACTGTACCACGTGTCTCCCTCTGCTCCTGGCCTCGCACTGCTCCACTTTTGGAATTCCGTTCTCCCATCATCGCCTCTCTTTCCAAGCTCTCACAATAACCTTGTTCAATTCAAGAAACGTGCTACACTCATATCTGTAATAACGATGTTGGCAGTGCGGGATTAAGGCAGTGTGGGGCCTGTAGCATATGTTATGAAGGGGCCCTAAATAAAAAAACACGTAAATATTAAAACCCATTTTTTATTTGGATAGTAAAGTAATTGTATTTTTTCATTTCTTATACAGCCAGATAATACGACAAATCGCTAACCTTAAACACCCAGTCGTTCATAAAAGTTGAAGGCAGTATAGTACTATAGTAATAGAACAAGTTACAGAATCACTGAACCGGAATTGATACTTCGAAAGCATTTAGCGCGGGGCCCTTGAAAGTGCGGGGCCCGTAGCATTTGTAGCTACTTTTGCTAGTGAGATAATCCGGCACTGGATGTTGGCACTGCTGATTGTTGCTGGCCACTCGACTTTTTCAGCCTTTGGGCCCTTGGCTCAGCAACCATGTGTAATGACTAAACCTGGCACCCACATGTGACCTTGCAGGCAACTATAAAACAGATGAATTTACAAGTGCGATATTACGTTTAATCAGCACATGCAAATGAGCTGGTGACGTTCACTGCGAACACAGAAAATGCCTTTGAAATGAATGCGATGCCCATGATGCAACAGCAATGGTGGTGTTACCCACAGCTCGCCGATTTCGTTACCTTCGTGGGAAAAAGCGTCTTCTTTTCGCCTCTTATCCAGCACTCGCACACAAACATGGTCGTGCATCCACTGCTCCGCTCCTTGATCACAAGTTGTTTTAAACTCCAACTAGAAAACGAAGATGTCCCATCGTTTTCAACTGTAATACTCTTGATTCTCCCAAGAGGGCCCAGCTTCACGAGGAACTCGTCAACCTGTAGAGAAAGGATTTCTATTCAATTCGAAATCAAGTCCAACAAAGAACTCAGCTGGTGCAAAATCTGACTGCGACTTCCGGCAGACTTGAGGAGGCCTTCAGGCGTAAGGAGGCCTTAGCACGCGTTAAACGGTACTGATGTATGATAGTTGGGTAGCGCAGCCCCTTTGGCGTCCATGTATCAGGTGTCTCTGTGGATGTGCAAACTTTGACTTTAACATAGCTATTTCTGTGACTAGTCACAAGCTAATCCCTCAGCTATTTCAATGCTAAATTATCCTGTTTGATATGTAAATTCCTTTGTCAAGGTGCCTCACTTCTCTCACCCAGCTTAAAAAGACGCCACGAATCTTAGCAGCGTTCATTGAAGCTCTGTCGTCCCGACAGTTCTGTTCCTTCACCTGAAGAAGGCTACTTGTGTTGTGGCCGAAACGTCGTGATTTTTGTTGTTTTATTTTTTAACTACGTGACTTTACCGAATAGAACCAAAGAGTATGGATTCTTGCAGTCACTAAAGCTTCACATCTAGAAAAGGTACTGATGTTCACCATCGTTGGGGCTCATGAGTGCAGGGAATCATAACGGTGAACGAGGAGGTAATACGTGTACTTGGCTTAATAACTTAAAAAATGGGAAAACGATCGTTTAACGAATATTCGCTTACCGAGTAATTTTCGCAGAACGTATCTCACTCGTTAAGCAAGACACGCCTGTATTTGGCTTCACAGCGCAGGCATGCACATTGCTGTTCATAGTCTGCAATGTCCACTCTGGGGTGCCTCCTTTCCTTCAACTTGACCAGTCGACCTTCAGAAGCTGCTCTCGGTATGCGCGCTGTGTTTTGCATTATTCTGGCTGTCGCCTGATGAGGCTGGTTGTTGTACTTACCGGCCAAACGTCGTACTCGATTGTACATTTTGTGGGTTTACTCTCCAACACACCGGTGTGCTGAGCTAGTAACGAATTGGCATGTTTTGTTGTCATGACAAAGTTTACTAATTGGCTGCCTCGGGTGGGGGGCGGGTTTAACGAGGCATTTATATATTTATATATTTACGCGATCTAACCCAAAAAACCTCTATCATGTATGATATTGGTCGCGAAAGCCTAACGTGTTAAACTGTTTTCGCGCTATGTCGCGTCTCAGATGCCTTCAGTTGTTTAGAGAGCAAGTGACGTTTATTTAGTGTTGCAATCTTTTTTTATATTGAGCCCCACTTTGCGGCCTTTTATATTTCGTTAATTTATCCTGCCATGTGGTTTGTTGCTAATGACGATGCCATGAAGGAATTAGAGGTGGTCAATATTTTCTCTACTTATATTTATTTCTGCCTCCCATTTTGGTAGAAACATCTTCAAATGATGCTGAGAAAATCTGCATGAGCAAGCTAGAGATAGCAAAGCTTCCTTCACCATTGACCACACACAGACAGGGGAGAGCAATGAGTGCCTCTGAATAGTTGAGCGTGAGGATGAAGACGAACATGGCAACGTGGCTGAAAAAGAGTTATCAATCAGTGCGGACCGCCGGCCCCGGAACAAAAGCCGAAAGATGCACACCTGGGGGAGCTGCATGCAGGAATTACACTGAGAGACGGAAACAGGATCACGGGCATCACAGAACAAGCACAACAAGGCACCAAATTGGCGGCCATTGGATTTGTCTCCGTGAGTCCGGTGGCCAAGCGGAAGTTCTCCAGCCGTGGTGGGATGCTGCTTGGGCAGCCGACCTTGTAGGTCGCGTGTCCACTGTGCAGCAGCTGCGGAATCCGTCAGAGGGTAGACTGCATTGGCGAGGAGTTGGCGTGATTGACAGGAAATGTAAATGGGATGGGAGAGGAGGCGTCTCCAGGCGGACCGAGGGAGCCGTGGACGAGACTGGCAGCTAAAGGAGGGAATGACCTCTGCCGCGGAGATGTTTCGTGTTATTGTTTATTTAAATATTTAACCTGGAAAATCCCTCCCGGGGGGCATCTCACTGCCAAACGAGTACTCGCACGAATACGCTCATGTCATGTTAATTACGTTATTTTCACTACAACACTACGAATGTGGTTAATATAGTTCAATATATATAATGTTAATTATGTTGCAGTTACTCTGTATTTCTCTATTAGGGTTCTGTTATTATCGTTATGAATGTGACTGCAACCCAGCACACTCGTTACGGGGACCTGCACGGTGGTTGTACAAAACCAGCTAATGTTGAGCTCCTGATTGCAGCCGTCTCTGCCTCATTCTGTGCCTCATCCTCCGGTTAAGACGTCACTTGGCCTGCAGATGAAAGTCCATTCCTTGCGAGTAATAACACTTCAATTCGTTTCGATCAAATCTCACACTCTGAAAAAAGAGTAAAATAATTTGAAATCACTAACCTGCCCATTTTCAAACGCATTCTGGTTTCTTGTTGAATGTTTGAGTTGTATCTCTTTTGTGACACGGTCCCCATAGATCCCAATGCGTACATTGGCGTCTGTCCCGGCTCCAGTCTCAGTTCCCGTGTAAACAGTCACGTTGTACTTCCATTCTCCCGACTCTGCGACGGAATCACGCACACACATTACACGCGGCGCGCACTTTCCCGCACACCCGATTAGCACGGTTGGCTAGGGTACGGCGCGAACGAAGTTCAACATACACGCGTACAGACTGAACGAGGTTCCACCGAGCGCCGCGCTCGCTAACGCGCTGCGCTGGCTGCGACCTCCATCGGCTGTCAAACCAAACAAGCGCCGTGCACGCAGTCCCCGACTTACGAACCGCTCGACATAAACTGGGGACCAGGGGCCAAATTGTGTTCGTAAAGCGATGGTTAGTTTAACACGTAGGCTTTCGCGGCCATCGAATTATGGATGTCGATGGTTGTCTGTTAAGACTACGATTCCAGGGATGGACCAGTCCTTGTTAGCGAGCACCCGTCACGTCCTGCACGGCACAACAGGAATGAGCGGCCAGCACCCCCGCCCTACGACTTTGTCTATCCGTTATCAGGTTTTAAGGTCGAGTCGACCTAGAGGAGGCCCAGGACCGGATCAGATATTCGTCACCGTCGCCAGATCCACCTCGGGTAAGGCGAGTTTCGTTGCGTAGTGCGCTAACCACAGTGCCGTCATCTCCACTGCGCGCGCACGCACACAGATTACACGCACCCACAAATTGCACTCTCACGGGGATGCTGGCACAACTGCCTCTCTCTCTTACCTGCACCGCGAGTCAGAGCCACGAGGCCCAGCACCGTAACGAGATGGTGGAGCATGGCTCCCGACAGCAAACAGAGCCCCTCACGGGCTATTCCCTTGCAGCTCACTGCCCCTTCCCCAGTCACTTTTGATCATCTCCCACTTCCTCCCACGCCCACTCTGCCATGCTGCGTCTCTCAACTTCTCTTTTTCGTTTCCTGCACCTGAAATTGCAGCAATCCGTCGGCTTACGTTATCATTATTTCGCTTGTATGCCCAGGAAAGTGTCACGTGAGTCTTAAGACTCAAGTATTTCTCGGGAGGGACCTGCGAAGTTTGTGTTTTTGCAGTAGCGGGGAGATGTTGCTGCCTGTAATCCACCACCCTCCACTCTACACACACACACACACACGCGTGCATGCACACGAATTACACGCACACACGGCTCACACGCACGCAGCTTACATACAGATTACACACGCGCACAGATTAGGGGACGTCCATAAATGACGTCACGCGATTTTGGCCGATTTTTTTCACCCCCCCCCCTCGTCACACGGCGTCACAAAAAGTCAGACCCCCCTCAAATATGACGTCACAAAGCTCTGCCACCCCCCCACCCCCCAAAACCATATTTCCATTTTGAAAATAAAACATGCTTCAAATCGCTTTAAACTATTGTCATTGTAGTGCGTATTTAATGTGGCGCTGCACTCTGATGTTGGAGGAGAATTTTTTTTTAAAAGGAGGTGTTGCAAAGCTGAAATTTAGCATAAATTCACTTGAAAATATTCAACGTCTAACTAAAACTGCAGATGTTCAGAATATTATATATAAATTCTCTTATAATGATAATATATTTAAAGTAATTATAACTATCAAAAAATACTTGAAACTTTGTAGTAGAACGAAGCAAAATGGAGAGTACAATTATAACAATCACATTTATTTCACAGAATGAAAAGGCCTGGTAGAATCATTAGAATCAAAATGTTTAATTAAAAAAAAATTACAAAATATATGCTTCTCCATTCTCCCATGGAGAAGCAAAATGTTCGTTCATGAAATAAATAAAACGTGACCTTAGTAAATTTAAATAATCAAATAGTTAATAATGAAAATGAATCAAAATTAGTGTTGTTATAACAATTCGAATTAATATTTATTTAAAGTTGCGCATTTTGATGTGACGTCACATTCCTCAAACCCCCCCCCCCGTCAAACATCGTCATAAATGTCTCACCCCCCCCCCTCCCACCCCTAGGTGCGTGATGTCATTTATGGACGGCCCCTTACACGCACCCACAAATTACACTCTTATGGGGTGCTGGCACAACTGCCTCTCTCACCTGCACCGAGCGACGAGGCTCAGCACCGTAACGAGATGGTGGAGCATGGCTCTCGACAGCAAACAGAGCTCCACCTAGACTATTCCCTTCCAACTCAGTGCTCCGTCCCTCGTCGCTTCCCCTTCTCCAGTCACTGCCGATCATCTCCCACTTCCTCCCACGCTCATTCTGCCATGCTGGGTCTTCCCTATCTGGTTTCCTGCAGCTGAAATGCAGAAATTCGCCAGTTTATATTATCATCTTACCTATAAACGTTATTTTTTGTCTGTCTGTCTGTGTGTCCGTGTGTGTGTGTGGACACACCTTGTGCCGCATTTAACTCACAAACTGCTAGCTTTACGTTTCAACAAACTACACACGACGCAATAAGCCCCTGACCAACAAATCACAATTTATTTTTCCCATCCGTCAAATGTAAAGTAGTTAAATTAACAATTTATTACTATTTATTATTATATTACTACGCTGAGCGCGCGCCAAACCACGTATCTGCGCGTGCGTGGAAGAGCCGACATGTGGTTCCCATAGCAACACACACACACGATCGGTGGGGGCAGAGAAAAATTATAATTTGCGTTAAAACAACCCAGACCCAGCCGGCCGAGGTGGAGCCTTGGCCGCCTGGGGCTGGGTAGAATTTGTCGTGCCAAGAGGCCATTGGAGCACCTTCACTTGGCGATTTGAAGCGGCTTTCCGATCGGTGCATTGGACGGAAGACGAGGCGCTGATGGCTCTGCCGACTGTTTTGGATGACGACGGTCTTGCTGTTTTCAGGGCTATTCCCGCTGCTAAGAAGGCCACCCTTCAAGGTGCTTATGCTGAGATGGCAGACGTGTACGAGCCGCCTTCCGACACGTGCAGGCAGTTTCTTCAGCATAGGCGAGCAAAGGCCGAGACGCCTCTTGCCTATCGCGGTCCGCTGTTGGTGTTAGCGGGTGCAGCTTACCCTGGCGTGAATCCGGAGGCCCTCGACTCGCTCGTCATGGAACGAATTATGGGACTGGCGAGAGACATGGGCGTGGTCTTACCTGTGTGTGACGACATTCAAACGTCCCGATGGGCCGCCAGGTGTCTTCAGGCCCACGAAAATCTACACCGTTGGTTTCAGATGGCGGCGTGGACGGGGGACCCTAGTCAAGACGGGGAACCGAAGGGATGGTTGGCCGAGCAAAGTTGTGGTGATTCCGGCCGGCGATGGGTCTTCGGAGGGGGACGTCGCTGCTGCGGTTCCGCCGTGGAATCGGAGACGGAGGGACGCTGTGCGCCGTCGATGGAGCTGGAGACCGCGTCAGCTGGAGACCGCGTCAAGACTGGGTGGCGCAGCGGCCACCTGTGGCCTGTTTCCGCTGCGGCCAGCTGGGGCAATTCGCGAGAGGGATGCCAGAACCCACAGCTGCTCTCGCCGAGTCTCGCACGGCACACAACCACACAACTCTTGCACGATTTTACCCCTAAGCGGTTGTTGTTTATGGTACCGATAACCATTAGTTTGTTTCGATTTAAAGCTTTCGTGACTTTACCGAAAGAACCAAAGAAGATGACATTAGTTTGTTATCGACGTGTTTGTTTGGTGGCGGATAAGTTACATATGGAAACCACCACCCCCACCGATTAGAGTTAGCGACACGATCGTCGTATACGAAGCGAATTTGCGCGTTATCTGAAATCGCCACACGCGGGAATTTTGTTGAAATTTTTTTTTTATCAATTCGCCCGCGATATCGCCTCAAAAAAAGTCAGGAGGAGGAAGCTGATTAAGGTGAGTAAGTGGACCGCGGTGGCGACATAGACCTGGGTCGCCAACGACGACAACTGCGGCATCTGCAGGATGCCCTTCAACGGCTGCTGCGCTGAGAGGCCGTGCCCCGTCCACTGCTGCCCGGAGGGAGCCCCGTGCTCTCCACTACTGGCTTGAGGGAGAGCCGCGCTATCTCCACCGCTGCCGTGAGGGAGCCAGACTCTGTCTGTCCACTGCTGCCCTGAGGCAAAGTTGTGCTCCATCCACTGCTGCCCTGAGGGAGAGCCGTGCTCCGTCCACTGATGCCCTGAGAGAGAGTCGGGCTCTCTCCACTGCTGTTGCCCCGAGATGTCGCGGGCGCTGCCCCAGAGCGAGGAGGCGCTGCTGCAGTCGTTCAACAAGCGGCTCAAGGACGACGTGCGCTCCATCCTGGACAACTTCACGGAGATCGTCAAGACGGCCAAGGGTCGTGAATGAAGAGTCCCCTGTGTGGGCTTCAGTGGGGCCGTCTGGTCGGGCAGCAGAGACACGAGAGGCCAAGAAACGACATTCCAGTCGTGGACTGAGCTCAAGGAGGGCTAGCTCGAGCACCATCCTGCGGCGGAGAAAGGAGGCGGTGCAAGCGGTTCAGCCGAGCCCACAACAGCCAAAAATCTGCTGTCCCTGTCTGGGGGGGGGGGGGGGTGAGGGGGGAGCTGTTCAACCCTAGCACATGGGCGAGAAGCCGTGCATGTGTGACGAGTGCGGAAAGACGTTTTTCTCGCGCTCGGCCTACAAGTATAGATTTTTTTTCTTTTCCGCTTGTGTGTTAATCTGTGTATACCCCGGATATTTTAAAGATGGCAATTCTCCTGCTGTGTATCATAATGCTGTCCCTCCCGGCCATATCTAGTGCCACACTCAACTCTACAAACGGCTACCCTCGTTACTTTGCGTTCATACTTGTTGCTTGATTTGCCACTACACCTGCAAATGAAACAGCACATAGACACTTCTACACTCCATCATTGTATCCTTTTAAACCCTATCTTTGTCCCATTACATCACCAGCACTCCTTCCAAACTTCATTCTGCTCTTAAAAATAACACCATCTGCGAGATGCTGCTATTCGTCCAAGGTTCACCGCTCTTCATCCTTTCACAGAAAATACTTGTGCAAACTATTAATTCTACTTTTATTATTTCTGGGTGGTAATGAGCTTCATCCTGGCCCAAATGTAAAGAACTCGTATAATTCTGTAGATTTTTCTGGCAGAAAATGTGTTGGTGCTCTACATGTCAACATCAGAGGGCTTGTGATTAAATTAAGTCAACTAAAAGTAGAAGTGGCAAATCTTGACCCGGGCATTTTTTGCCTAACAGAAACATTTCTCACTCCTGCCGTCAATGACTTGCAGATTACGATTGACAACTACAACCTTTTTCGGCTTGACTGAGGATCTAAAAGAGGTGGAATTGCCATCTATGTTCGTAATACTATTGCATGTTCACCAGCTCACTCCTTGTTTAAAAAATGTTGCTTTGAAGGTTTGGCTAGAATAACTCTTCCAAATAATCAAAATATATTGGTAGTGTGCTGCTATAGACCGCCTAGTGGGAAGGATGTTGAAGCTGCATCTGCACTGAGAGAGCTTTTTGGGGGCCTCCCTGAAGGTGAAATAGTTTTAGTGGGTGATCTAAATTGGAATTGGCTAGACCCGCCGGCCGTGGCCACAAATTTTACAGATGAATTTAACCTGTTTCAATTAATAAATGTCCCCACAAGACCCAACCTAAAAAATCCGGGACAGTCAACTCTGCTTGACGTCCTATTGACAAATGCCCCTCACAATTTCGTACTGACTGGTGTTCTGGGTAATAACCTTAGTGATCACTCCTTCATTTTTGAGGTGAGATCATCAACCAGACCCAAAGCCCCCCCTACATTGGTTGAGAAGCACTCTTTGAGGCACTTCAGCTCTCAGGCATTTACAAATGATGTGCTTCACTCGGATATTGACAAGGTCTGTGACATCCCCAACCTGACTACGGCTTGGGAGACTTTCAGGTACACGTTTCTCCAAATTCTTAACAAACACGCTCCGTGGGTTAGATTTAAAACTAAAGGCAACCGCCCACCATGGTATGAGCCTTTGATTACAAAGCTCATGAAAACTAGGGACAAGGCTTGGGCATGTGCTCAGAAAAATAATTTAGTCAATGATTGGCTAGAATACAGGATTTTTAGGAATAGATGCGTCAAAAAAATACGGCATGCAAAAAATGCCTACTTTTCCTCCACTCTCCTGGAATCACATGGAAATGCCAGGATTTTTTGGAAAACAATCAAATATATCGAAAAGGCATCCAAAACAGACAATCTGCCCGTTGAGCTTAACCGAAATGGGGAATATTTTTCAGATCCCAAAGAAATAGTTGACAATTTTAACCTTCTTTTTTCTGAAGCTGGTAATCTTTTTGATAATGTATTGGGAGTCACCCCTGCTCATGCAAATTCCTACACCCCTGTCCAAACATTAAACGAATTTAGTTTCCAGCCAATCCACGAAAGTAATGTTCTGAAACAACTGTCCTACCTCAAAGGGTCCTCCTCTACCGGAGCAGATAGTATTCCCGTCTTTGCTCTACTAACTGTTGGTCACCTAATATACAAACCTATAGCCCATATTTTCAACCTGTTCATCAAAGAAGCATTAGTTCCTCTAGAATGGAAACATTCCTATGTCCGTCCACTTCACAAAGGGGGCCCTAAAGATGATCCCAATAACTACCGACCTATCTCAATTTTATCCCCACTGATGAATTTTTTTTTAAAATTATTGAACTACCAAATGAGCAGTTTCCTGTTCACCAACAATCTACTACATCTAAAACAATCTGGGTTCCTAAAAAATACAGCACCACATCTGCTGCATTAGACTCTCTGAATCAAATTTACAGTAGCCTTGATAATAAGCAGTACTGTGCCTGTCTTTTTCTTGACCTGTCCAAAGCTTTTGATACAGTTGACCACAACACCCTGCTTAGTAAACTAAGTTGTCTCGTTTTTTCTGAAAACACAGTAAAATGGTAAAAAATTACCTCTTTTCTCGCACCCAAACTGTATTCACAGATGGTTGGAGGTCAAACAGTGTTAAGATAACAAAAAGGGTTCCACAGGGTTCCATCCTCGGCCCCCTCTTGTTCTCTCTTTATGTCAATGACTTGGGCACTGACCTGGATCATACCAGGGTAAATCTTTTTGCAGATGACACGATACTGATTACTGCTGGCCGCTCTCCAGATGACGTGAATGCTAAGCTCCAGGGTGATTTCAACAAACTACAACATCAGCTAGTTGCTCTTAAATTCGTCCTGAGCACCTCCAAAACCAAGGTGCTATGCTTCTCACCGGGACTAAAGCAGGAAGTTATTTTTCCCCAACTACATTCCTTAAACAATTATCAAATAGAGCAAGTCAAGATCTA